TATGTGCATGCTCTTGTGTCTGTTATGCAGGACTACTCTGCAAGATTTGAAAATGGCATTTGTCTGAATGTGAACAAGGAGAATCCAAAGATGACATTATCATGAAGCACAAGCATCACACAAGGGCTCTATTCCTCTCCACAGTAATGCATCAGTCTCTTGCTTAATGCCAGATGCCCCATCGTTCTGGAGTTGACCTTTGAGACTGAAAGATAATAGACACCTTAAGAACAGCTGCTCTGACGAAAAATGGCTCCTGCAAAAAGTGTCTTAATAATATGACAAGTGTTATAAATGAATTCTGTTTGTTTATTGTAGAGGTCTGCTTGAAAATTACTATCAGGTTTAACATCTCAGAGCAAGAGGTATGTAACAGAAAAAATGAGAGGGTTACAATGTTTATGCAGTCATTCCCAAGCTCTTTGTTAATAGTAACGATTGAAAATCTACGTCTAAGGAATCTTTTCACTCATCACTGAAGCAAAGCTGTGTCCAAAATCAAATGTGGCAGCTGTTTAGCAGTACATGACAACACTAAACAAATGTTTAGACAAGGGAATGAAAAATATCCTACAAAAATGATACTTCAGTAGGATTTATTTACAGATAGTAATACAGGAAGAATTGTTTCTAAATGTTTAATACGTTTTCCAGACATAGGCTTTGGCTCCTGAAATATGCCAGCATTCCAATAATTATTAATATGACAGACTTTAATGTTCTGGAATATTAATGTTGACGAACCTATATCCTTCACTTACCAATCCCATGCAGAGACATTTTTCTGAATCAAATATATCCCAAGTGTAAGGATTATACCCGAAAGTTGTACATCAATGATAAGTGTTATCCACTGCATTCAGTATATCAAAAGTTTATGTTCCTGATGTCTGTTGCTGTTTCGCCATTCATTTCAGTATGGAGGAGGAGTAGAAGTCGTAGTGGTCTGCAGCTATATTAGCAATTACATTTCTGGGCATCGCAGACTATACTTTTTGGAATTCTTTGCAGGAACATGCCAAAAAAGCATGGATTTAAGAGGAATTGTAACAAAATGTTGTTCATCATAGTATTTATGGCTGTAGCCCCCAAGCAATAAAGAAAAAGGAAAGGGAGCAACTGAATCTCACGCGTCAGGGCATAAAAAGATCTTTACTAGGGACCAGGAAGGAACATTGCTGATGTTTTTGAACTGACAAGGTACTTTAGAAGTAGGTGGTTGTACGGGAAGGGTGTCAATTGTGGGCTAAAGATGTCTTTAACAGGCAAGCTCTAGGCTTCTTCAATAATTCAAGATGTTTACTTAATTGCCAATGTAGTATACGGAATGTTAAGACATCAATACTACGATGAATAGAGACTGCAAGAGAATGAAAATATATTTAAATAAAGTCTAAAGTGCAGGATGAAGGTTTTAATATAATCAAAACGTGAAAAGTAGAAACCCTAGAGATGGAATTTGTGTGAGTAATCCTCAACACTGCACTGCTGTCGCTTCACGTTTAGTCATGTATCTCTGTTCAGTGCTTTGACAAAGTGAGAAGGTAAGAAAAAAAGACAAAACACAGATGACAACATTCATTTTTGACATAAGCAAACACAAGCAAATGGTAACTGAATACTTATGCAGTGGAATCAGTGAATAAACAAATGATTTTAATTACAATTTTCAGCAGTTCAATTGTGAGATGAGATATGAGATGACGTCCAAACAGCCAGGGAAAAGTATTGGGGAAGAGGGAAAACTGAAAGCAAGCAAATGGGTCTAGCTGTATGACTTTACCAGTCAGTATCAGGTAACCTTTACCCTAAAACTCAAAGGCCACCTTTGGTGGATGTAAATGGCTATCATTTACTGATGTTCCTGAGAGTGGCTTGTTAAAAATAACAGAACATTTCTTAATCTCTTTTGAAAAGAGACTGAGTAAGATTCAGATTTTGCAAGCCTTACTGCTGTTGATGAGAACCTTTTAACACATATAAATTCTACTACCGCATTGGCCTAAACAGGTTTTCTTGCACAGGTTCTGCCTAGGCTGTTATACTGTGCACTAACTGAAGCTTTTCCAAGTACCAAGGAATGATCTCTTAGGTATAAGAATAGCTATAGACAAGAAGAAAGACAGAAAATTGCAGATTCATTTAAAATCCAGGAAAATCTAAGTTTCTGCACTGACCTGACTAAAATTTTTCACTAAGTCTTACTAGAAAAAATATCTACTGTATTTGAAGTAAGTGGGTTTTTTTATTTTTTTTTATTTTTTTTTTGGTATGATGCTGAGCCGAATGTTAGGATTGTGGATTTTGAATTTAAACTGCTTCACAGCATTTGAGTATTTGGGGATGTGTAAATTTGGCAGAAGTCCAAATTTCCCCTACAAAGATTATTATTTTACCCTGTCGAACACCAGCGTTGTTTCGCTTTCACTGTTGCCAAATTTGGGGTAGAAGCCAAGGAATGTGTAGTAGGGATGTAGGGATGTAAAGCACGGAGGGACTGGCCTCCCTTTGTGCATCATTTTCTGACAAGCTGAGCAGGTGGAACCATCTGCAGCCTACAGCAAACGTGGCATTGCTTTCAGAGAGGATGAGGAAGTGTTGGGAAAAGCATTTTCACAGGGGTAAAAACAATTTTGAAAACAGTTCCTACCACATGTTCAAGAACTAGCTGTGATCTCAACTGCTGTTCAGCTAAATCAAACTGTCTCAAGCCTTGACAAATATCTTGCAAACATTAACAGCTGAGTAATGTTCTCCATGGGTCTCCATTTCGAATATTCACTTTTCAACAAGCAAAAGATTATTTTGTGAAGTGCCTATGCTCCAAATACATTTGTTTAGCTAGCCCATCACCCTTCCTGTTGAGGTGCTGGATGACTGCACTGTGCCAGATGCAGAGATGTACTCTCCTTTGCAAAAGCAGTCAATAACAACCTCAGTAGCAGGCCCTTCAAAAATCAAATATGGCAGAAAACATTGTCCCCTGTGTAGAGTAAAAAACAGAAATATATTTTTTATTTTATTACTTGAGGAGGCAAACTGCTGCAAATAGCTCCTCTAGGAACTTTAAAGACTTGGTCTACCACTTCCTATTCCCTGTAGTCCTGCCTAAATAAATAATTGTTATGGAATAGTTATCATTGCAGAAAAAGACAATGGAATATCATTGCAGTTGTAAGCAAGACACTTCATTTTTATACTTCTAGAGTGAGAATTCTTAGCAGAAAGAAGTGTGTTGTAGTGGATTTAGTCGTTCATTACCCAGTGGATGAGAAAACCCCATCACCTTACCACCTTCGGAAAATGCCTTGGTACGAGAAATGTACAGAAATCCCACTGTCTTAAGGAGAACAAATTTTAGGCTTATCCTTTGCTATTTACTGGGGTTGATTGAGCCTCACTGGTCTGATATAAAGGGGGAGGGTTGAATTTTTCTTGCTTCTAACTGTAAAACTTGTGAATAACTTTCTGTAAGACTGTCAGCAATTTTTTAGGAAATCAAGAATGCATTTAAATGTTTGAGACTGAACAGCTGATCTTGCTTGCAAGAATGACAATTTCTGGTCTTTAACAGCAAGCAACACAAGCAGCACTCAAAGTGAAAATTTTCAAGGCTCTTCAAAAATAATAAAAGTGCAGTCCTTTTTCACTGTTTGCCTGAGCTATTGTAAATGAGCAAATTGACCATGTTTTAGCTAAAAGTTTGACTAAATTTGGTTCTCAGTTCTGTGCCTAAGTATAAGACCATTTCTGCCCGTAATAGAGCAGCAATATCTAGTACTGAAAATGGAGGGAAGGATGTGGGAGAACTAAAATTTTATAAGTCATCAAGATAAGTGTCTTGAGTTATCATGATGAAGAGAAATATAAGTTTCACTATGTCATTTTTTTTTATTGTCTAAAAGCCTTAGTAGAAAAAAGAAAAAAAAGAAATACAAGTCTTTACTGTTGTTTATGGTGTTCATACTGAATGGAGGGATGCTCTTGGACAAATTTTGTTTCTAGAGAGGAATAACATTCCAAGAAAGCTATTTATGATCTCAGGTTCTTGCATTAAATCCGACTCCTAAACCTACTCATTGGTATAGCCCAACTATATACCAGAGGGGAAGAAATTAGAGCATTTCTTCAGTCCTGGTAAAAATCATTTTGACTTATGGTGGCATTATTAAAATCTTACCAATTTAGTCACTGACTTGCAGCTCCTGTTATGGGTCCTCAGAGTTGCCTTGCTGCTCATCCTGTCACGCATGAATGCCTGCCTTTGAACCTTGCTTCCTGTGTGTTTGAGCCCCCTCCTGGAGTCTCTTTGGTTTTGGCCTCTCAGGAAAGCGAAAAGGGCTGACATTCTCAGTTGAGCCTAATATGAAGATTTAAGGTGAAAGTAAGTTGGTTTCACTTAGACTTTTTTCCCCAATGGGATGGCAAACCTATCGCAGCTTCTATTCCATTTTCTATAGCATTGGTGCACATGTACTGACATGTACAAATTTTAAAAGCGTGGCTGTTTATTGGTTCCAATTGATTTTCCATCTCAACAGACTATACCCCATTGCCATTTAACCAGCGAGGAGAGAGTGAGGAGGTGAAAAGAGTGAGGAGGTGAACTATGGAAACAAGAACAGCATTGATCAACTAGACAAAAGCGCAATGAATATTTTAAAAGAAAATAATAAAAAACCCATAAACAGCCTTTCCATCAATGACTACATAATTTACGGAGAGTATCCCGTCAGATTAGGCACTCTTTTCATCTGTTTTCTGTCATATTCTCCTATAATCTTTCTAATACTATGTTTGCTTGTGAAAGCAGTAGCGCAGACTAAGACTTGCCACAGGAACAGGCATGTTTGTGCAGGCTTGCACACGGACATAAAGTGTTGTCACTAGACAGGCACAAAATTCAGAAGCAGCTGTGCCTGACTGGTTTTCCTGAATCTCCTCCCCATAAAATTTCTCATTTTTTTAAGTTGCTTTAGGCCTTGTAAATGTTACTTTAGCAAATTAAGGCATCACATCAGATGATTTCTGGCACACTTACTGTATCTTAATGCTATCTTCACCTGTATAACAGGAGAGTTCAATAAAAAAATCCCCTGAGTTTCTAAAAGCCTGATTTCCAAAACCTTTTATTTGCAATTAAGTTATAAAGAGCAGACATGAGTATTTATGTTGTTCTAGGGACTGATGTAAATCAAGGTAGTCCCATCCAGCTATGTATATTTGCAAAATGAATTCCACAAATCAATAAAATAGGCCACACTGGAAAATACATGCGTGCCCTGTACTTACCTAGAAGATGGATTCAGCAATAACCAAACTGATAATATATTCTCTCTACTGAACCTTCATTAAGCTCAGTTCCGACCAGCCAAGTATGGAATGAAAATTTGGTCCAGGATCCATGCTCTTTTTAGTTCTTAGCTTTTCTGAGTAGACTTGGTAGATTACATGATGTGGACTACTGTTTTTTTGAGAACTGGGACAGCGAAAGAGAGCTGGATTGTCAGCCACTGCAGAAACCTCAGAAGACGTGCCCAGATGATGGTACTATTTTTGACTATTGTTCAGTTGGAGGCTCTCCTTGAATATCACAAAAGCTGTTGAATTAAAATGGGACAAAACGTACGTTAGCGTGTTCCTGCCCTAGAATATAAAGGCTTAAAGTATAGTGGTTTTATCATTTTTCTGGAACCTTTAATTATCATCTTGCTGGATATTTTGCACTCTGGTCACAGACTCAGGGTAGATTTACCTCCATCTGTTCCTTAAGCAAGCATGCCAAAAAGATCAAGAGAACTTTAAATCTCTGTATTTTATTGGAATATAAAGTTGATCAGGAATTTTTAAAGAGAATGTACAGAAATATTGTGTCCAACAGAGATTTTTATTAAGAAGATTGAAAACCAAGAACATACTGTGCCCTTTTCTCCAGGGCCATGCTCAATCTAGGACATATCACTGGTTTTCTTGACTGCAATATGATCTACAAAGTGTCTAGGATATTTTTCCATTATCTCAGATTCCAGACCATGGGCCTGTTCTGTCTGCTCTCATTATTCCCTTCCTGTCCCCTTCCACGCTCCATAAGGCTCCTCATAGCTGAACATTGTCCCTAAATTGCATTTTTTCTCCTACACTGCAGACAGAATAAAGCAAACAATTCACTATCTTCTCTAATGCTCTGCCATGCCTCTGGAATAGACTGTAACATAACAAACAAGAAACACATACCATCTGTCACACTTTTTGTTCATAGCCCAAGAAGAAGACATTTTCAATGTTCTCGTGTCCACATTGAGACCTCCCTGGAAAAAAAAAAAAAAAAAAAAAAAAAAAAAAAAAAAAAAAAAAAAAAAAAAAAAAAAAAAAAAAAAAAAGATAAAAAGATCCACTTAACTGAACTGAAAAGCTTTCAGGGCAGGTATCACTTCATTAGCACTATTGGGAAAACAATGAATAATTCAAAGTTGAGATGGTGTTTCTATTTTGATTCTTCTTTGCTTTATTCTGTTTATTGTGTTCTGCTGTTGCAACTCTCTTGTTACCACCCAGGTTAGAACCTTTAGCAAGTGAACTCCAGACCAACCAGTTCTTTCATAGATCAAATCTGTTTTTTTTATCTGAACTAAAACCTGAAATGAAATTCTGATCTTCTGTATTTTCTGATGCAAAAGTACTGTTCTAGCTAAAGAAATGCAAAGAGCATGGAAGTTTTTTCTTTTTTTCTTTTTTTTCTTTTTTTTTTAACTAGCACATGACTCTTAGATTTCTGTGTTTGGAGATATTTATTGATGTTAAGGTAATGCTAAAAAAAAGAGAAGCCAAAAATCTTCCCTGCCAGAGTCACTCTGGAGATCTGATTTACACTGTAAGTACCTAATACCTTGAGGCAAAAATGTCTGTCTTTAGCAAAATCAAGGCATGCACCCTATTATTGTTCCCTGATGATTTCTCACTTCTGACTTCTTGAGAAGGTGCTTGATTAGTGTGCAAGTTTACTAGCAACAATAACCTGTAGCTGGCCAGTTCTTTATTCAGCCTTGTGAAAGACCTGTAACTTGTGTCTGGTCTGATGTCATAAATGTTCAGACTGAGAAAAGTGTTGCATTTTTTTACTGCCTTTGGCTCCAAGTGGAGGAGGGCTCTGCCTCAAAAGGTGCATTGCTAGAGAAGGCTCCAAGGTACAGGGGAGACCTTTACCTTTTCTAACATTAAGTCTTTTTGCTTTATCTTGCCTTTGCTAAAAGTTGATTCACTGCACTCCATTCAGCAAGGACTTTTTGCATGTTAGAAGTATTTTATATGGAACTATAATTGTGATTTGTAAAATTAATTCTACCTACGCTGCAAACCTGCGTGAGGTAGGTGTGCTTTAAGTACTTATAATGTAATTTGACAAGTGTTAAGACTGAGGGTGGAAAAGGGATAGGAAGAAGAAACGTAGGCAAGAGCTCTCTGCTATTAGATGGGTGGTTGAAGAGACTGTATGGGAGTAATGAGACCAATGTGTCTTCTGAGGAACCCTGAGAAACACTGAATACTTGCAAATCCAAACACTTGCAAATCTTGGTCTGGGCCAGGATAACGGTTATCCTAGTAAAAGCAGTAACATAGTTGCATTCAAAATGAGAGAGGGCTCCAAACAGGCTCGGAGAAAGGATGACAGAAAATTTAGAAAATGTATCTCCATATTCCTTATAAGAGATGGAAACAGCAATTTTCTAATTTGGAATGGGTATAAGAGTCTGAAAAAATTAAACTGCTCTGGCTGGGACACTCATTAAGGTATACTGATTTGCTGAATTTGACCTCTACAGACTCCAAAACATTGCTTAAATCTTTACAGAGAATATTTAATCAATTTTAGAATTTTTCTACATCTTCCAAAAGCTGCAACATATCCTCATTCTCTGTTGTTTTTGTTCTTGTTTTCTGGAAGGACAGTACTTCTGTGAATCCAGATGCTCTGGTATTCAAATGCTTAAAGCAAACTGGATGTATCTGGTAAATTCATTATGAACTGTACTGTGGCCTGCTTCTGAATAGTGCAAAGCACTTGCACTATGGAAGACAATTCAGCTGTAATGCCAGCTTGCTGACATAAAAAAAGGAAGTAGGAAATACTCACATTTTGTAAATATTCATTTATGGAAATGATCTTTAAATATATTTTCAATAGAAGCACTATGATTAATTATTCTATATCACAGTGGACTACTCCTTAAGTCTTTCATAAAGTCATTATCGATTTAATCAGTTTGCATTGCTAAAGGCTTCAACAGACATTAATTTATAGAATAATTTTGGGAGAATGAAAATTAGAGTATATGACCTACTCTGAAACAAAATAAATCTATGTAGATACAGTATTTTTTTTTTTTATTTTTCCCTCTCAGTAGAAATTACAAATATAACCCATGCTATTAAAACATTTTAATAACAACATTATCATTTTGCCTAGACAGGAAAAAAAAAAACAGATTTATATTAATGAAGACAATTATGAAATAAGCATATACTAACCATATGTAGTCCTGGTTTCACTGGGATATAGGTGAGGAAAGCAATGGGGTTAGTGTGAATTTACAGTGATGCACTCATCAGAAGCATTTCTTAAAGCTGTTCAGCATATGTGCTCATTATGCTAGTCGTCTTAAGAAAATTCCATCCATGACAAATTATGTTTAGGAATAATTCACTAGGCTGGACATATGGTTGATTCAGTCAAGTATTTAAGTATTATGGTTTCTATCCTGGTCAATGCATGAGGGACCTTCATAACAGTTGTAACTGGACCTAAGTCCCTAGACAGAGATAAGGCTTTTAAGTGGATCACCTTGTGGAATATACAGGTTGGATCCTCTCCACCAGTACAGTTCTTCCCACTATTGCCAGCTCCAAGTGGCATAGTAAGTCTGGAGCAAATCACAGGACAGATAAATCATCCCTGGCCTCTATTTTATTTTTTTCATCTTTAATTTTTCTGAAAACCTGAATTGTCTCTCCTATTATACAAACAGGTGTGTTATCATATGGCCGAAATACACATATCTACTCTAACATGTAGGTTCATTCTAGTCACTTAAAGAAGGCATGCTTGCTAGATCAAATGACTTTAGAATATTCACATATCCATATGATTGGATGTGTAATAAAAAGGGATTGATACTGTTGTAGACAAGCTCCTTTTGTAAGAGACAGCATGATATGTTCTGGTCACAAAGTTGGCCAACGCTGCTCACAGTTCAGGCATAGAAAGAAACAAGAACGTACATTTGCTCGTAGCTTACAAACACAATCATATGATGCATTTATTAGGCTAGTTAATGAGACAGTTGAGGCCAGTGGATATTTCAGGTACCCAGTAAGCCAGGCATGTCTGTTTTAATATTACAAGGATTATTTACTGGTGAAAGTACCTTGTTTTTCTGAGTAGAACACACAAGTCTTGCCAAAGGTCATAACAGTCATTTCCAAAAGTTGCTGCCCCACTTTCAAAGCATCTATATCACTACTGAAAATTAACCTTAAAATCACTCCTTAACTAACAAGTTCTATTTTATTAATTTGTTGCTTACATTGCAAAAAAATCCGTAAAATCTTTTTCCGTTCAACAGAGAATACAAGTCCCTTTTTCCCATCATCTCCTTGGTTTAGTTTTTAGTCATAGCTAAAATGGCTAGACTGTTGAAATTCTTCTATTAAGTATTTTAAAGCAGCAAAAAAGCCATTCCCCCCCCCCCCCCCCCAAATAAAGTGTACTGTTTCTTGAGAAGCTGTACTTGATTTAATTGTTTGGAGGATAAAATCTCCAAGTGAAGCATGAAAATAATAACGAAAACTTTCTCACATTGCTGCTATTCAGCGTTCCTTAGGCTTTCCTGTCTTTTAAACTATTGACATTTTTAAAGAGAGTACTTGAGAGATGGACAAATGTTTGCTGAGCATCTAAACTACTTTCCAGGGATGGGGGACAGTTTTGTGGGATCTATTTTGCTTTCTTGCTGGGAAAACCTTCTTATCTATTCATTATGTCTATCTTCCCTACTTGCATGCTTCTACCCTCATTCTACTAGGTGAATACCTTGCTGTCTTGAAGGTATGTACCTTCATTTCCAAGCTATACAACTAAAGTTTTTATCTATGTTTTACAAACGCAGAACTAAAGCAGAGGTACTAATTGGTTTTCCAAGCTCACACAGACTGTGGCAGAACGTCTCAAGTCTTAAGATTAATGGCATATTCACCAGAGGTGTTTGGACATTTATCAACGCATTCAGCCTAGGACAAAGAACTGCATAGCTTATAGCATGTAATCTGGAACAATGCTGCAGTAGGTGAAAGGGAAGAAGAAGAGAATGTCCAGGCTGGACAATGTGAAGCTGATAAATTCCACTTTACCAAAGTGTGAAACATTTAAAGTCAATAGTCTTACATTAACCTTCAGTCACACTATGAGTATGAAATCAATACAATGAGGAATCTATGCTTTGGTTCCCATGAGACCAGGATAAATTTATAAGACTCATGAAACTTTAGCTGCTAAAATCTGTGTAAGAAAGACCCAGGCTGTGCAGAATAATTTAGAGGTCTATAGTAATTCAACCTAGAAAGTACAGAAGAACTGATAAAGAAGATGAAGAGCTGTGACATACTGATCGGAGTTGCATTTCAACGATTGCTGCTTTCATAACACAGATTTCATGAGAGAAATATGAAAATTTGAAAGAAGGCGATGCTTTTAGAGTAGAGGCGACATTGTACTAAAAAAGAAATTATCTGATCAAAAACTATTGCTTTTCCTCTAAAAAAAAAGGAAAGAGCCCAGGTCAGCCACATGAAGATGCAGATACTACGATCATATAAGGAATGGCCTAAAGAATACACAAGCATAGCAATACTTTCATAGCAGATACTTTGATATTGCTCAGCCACGTGGATAACAAAAGCTGCAATTGTAAAGCCTTAAAGATATTTCTTCCTTAAATATGCTTGTGATGCTGTATCCTAAGACAGATAGCTGCTATTTCTGTGACTTTGCTTCAAGTTATAGAAAGTACTTGCATTTTGGATAAAGAAAAACCTCCACTATTCTCCACTGAGAATGGTTGAATCATAGTCCTATACCTGGGCTTAGGTAATAATGTACGACCTGACCACCAGGGGCTGGGTGGGGTGACAGGAAGATCGCAGGAGATCCTAAAAAGGCAAACCATCCAAGAGCCACCAAAGGTAAACTGTGAAGATATACGGACATCATCTTCTACCCCTTCAACTATCTACCCTTGTCCTTTTGCCACTGGCCATTGT